TTTTTTTTTTTCAAAAAAAGTTTGAAATTTTTATTTGCCGCGTGTCTGAACTTAAAGAGTGCATTGCAAATGTGCTTGAAATACCTTTAATGTGTTATTCTGCTAACTGTCACCCACACACACACACACAGTCACACACTCACACACACTCACACATTTTGACTAGTTTTACGGGCAAACGACAAATGCATTTGCTGAGCCAAAGCTTTGGCCATGACTTTTGCTTTCGGTTCGTCAATCACCTTTTTATCTTGCAGGACATTACGAAGCAAACCGCAAAGCTTTGCCAGCATTATGTTCATGTCCTTCGACCAGCTAGTGCTATATGTACTATTTGTTGTGTGTGTGCGAGGTCCTTGTGTTTGAGTGTGTGCACAAATTTATTACAACCTTTGGGAATTCTTTTAAGTAGTTGCTCGATTCAAAATAATTTTCCATTTATCACTGTGATAACAAAACAGTTTTTCCTCGACCAAGCGCGAAAATGGCAAAATAACATCAGCAGCAGCAGCAGCAGCAGCAAAAGCAGCAGCAGGAGCAGCAGCAGCAAGGAGCATTATGAGCGTGGTGTCTGCTCTAGGGTTTGGGGGCGTGCCACTGTCCTGTGGAAAATAAAGTGCTCTTCGCAAATCTTGAGCATGCTGTACTCAGACCGGGGAGTTGGAAGTTTTTGGGCGCAATGCCGCCGGCTCGACTGACTTGCTGACGAGAGACAGAGAGAGAGACAGGGAGAGGGAGAGGGAGAGAGAGAGACTGCTCTCTAATGATAAATGCCGGGCAGCAGGTGATTTAAAATAATTTCGGTCAGCGCGTGAAAAATATTTGTTGTTGTTTTCAAATTTTTGAAATTTATGAGCTGCCGTTTGCCCCGACCCCCGCCCCGCCCACCACAGCCTGTTAGAAACAGCCAAACAGACAGACCACAAAGTTCTTTTGGGCCAAAACTTGCGGCAATTGCCATGTTTGTTGCGTTGTTGGCTTGGGGTAAGCGAGCAGGTACCGGCAATGGCAAAGGCAAAGGCAAAGGCAGCGTCACAGCAACTGTTAAAAAGTGTAAAGAAAAAAAAATACTTAACTTTTGGTCACGACACGTCTTTGGCGCCACCTTAACGTGATGCCACAGTAGAGGTTAGAAGCCAAAACTTTGCTTTTGCAATTCGGCCAACTCATTTGCCGCACTCTGTCACCCACACTCTCCCTCTCTCTGTCCCGTTTGGCAGCTTCTTTTGTGTGGATTGCTGGCGAGTTGATTTTATAAAGCCTGCCGTCCTGGCTACTGTAGCCAAACGTTGCCAAACGCTTGTCAGTGGCAGCCCGGCCAGCAGGCGCAGGCTGCCAGTTGCTGCAACGTTTCGTGGCTTGCGCCACAAAACTTTCATTTGTGTTCGAACCAACTTTGATGAGCTGCCGCCGCTGCCGTTGCCGTTGCTGCTGCGGCTTTTGCGCAGGGGCGTTGTGCGAAAATTATGTGCTCGGCCCATTGAGCAGGGCGTGTTGCACCATTAAGCACTGTACAGGCCAGACAGAGGAGTTTGCGGAGGGAGGAGGGGTCGGGGCAAGCCCGTGTCCAGTCAGCCGGGCAGCCGTAGTCAAGTGCATTTGCATAATTTGCTGCGCTGCGTAAAGTTTTTGCTGCATATTGGCCAAGTTTTCTGGTTAAGCCTGCATGTTTATTAAGCAATCAATTATAAAGATTGCCGCACATAGTTGCAGCGCATATTGATTTTCAATGCCTGCGGCTAGCTTTTCAGCCAGGTGGGTCACTCACTGATCGGCCCAATATTGGCAAATATTTGGCCAAGCCGGCAGACAGACAGGCAGGCAGGCAGCTTCATCAATGTAATCAATAAGTGTCCTTGGATTTTCGCCGAGTGTTGGCAACGAGTGCTTGATAAATAGATTAAATGGCTATGGAGTGGCATTTTGGCCTGTTAACGATACTCCTGCTGTTTACCTAGCCCAAAACTCTACTCATTTGGGGAGTTGTTGCTGCTACATAAAGTTTTACGACATCTGAGCCCGATCGGAATGTTGTTCAATGGTTGCCTTTGGTCTGTCGGCAACATTTGCATGCACACTCCCTGGGAATCAGAATGCATATGTATATAAATATATGTATATATCTATATATACCATGTATTTGTTGGCATGTCTGTGCGCTTGCACTTGTATAGAATTGCAAAACTTTGGCATAAAGTTTGGCGCTTTACATGCAAACTTGCAATTGACAGCAGCCGAATGAAACGTGCTGCCTTCTTCTGGCAAAGTTCCTTTAAGCTTTTTGGGGAGAATTCTTTGTTTTAACGACTTAGTTTGCGGTCAATGTTTTGCATCTTTTCTTTCTCCCTCCCTCTCAGTCGCAACAGATTCTGCTTGTCACTCAAGCAGCTAATGCGAGGGTTAAAAATGATTTCAGATCAAACTGTATAAATTTCAACTAATATACTTATGGTGTTTCATTAGCTTTATTATCTTATTCCAGCTGTTTGTAAATAGCTTTAAAATACTTACTGTATAATCCATTGTCTAAGAATATCAGACATTTAATAAATGTGTTCTTTATAATAACAATTTATATTCGGCTGCGTTACGATCTGTTATGCAAATTAGCATAGCTTCTTTTCTAATATAAATTGAAAAAAAAAATGTTTATTTGTCTTCCTTCAGCTAAACTTTGTACGTGCTGTGCCGACGCCTTGCCATCTAATATCTAGATAGAACCTGCATAAGAATGCATATGACAGCACATACAAACGAAAAGAAACATTTTAGTTAATATTCACATTAACATATTAACATTTTTTTATCGTTATATAATTAGTTTTTATTGCAACAACTACAGTTGCTGCTGGAGCTGAACAGGCGACTTCTCGCGTATTTGCTCGATGCTCAGATACTTAAGTCCAGTGGGGCTTCTTATTCAAACTTTCTTAAACCCCGTCTTAGGGCTTACATTCGACCCAGAAGGAAGCTTTTTTTTAAGTCTAAGCTAGACTTTGTTGATATGATTCTGCAAGCAAAAGAAATGTCGACACACAATAAAAACTTCATATATAAATGAACTACTTAAAAATGTTGCTCGAATTTCCAATTAAAGTCGGATATACCTAATATAAAAGTATGCCTTGTTGATATACATATGTGGAAAGGAATTCGTGGTTGCATGTATCGTTTTGCCATTGGGACATCTAGCACGGCAAATATGTAATCCTTTCAGCTTTAAAGGATGCAAAATGTCAAGCGTTCTCGTCGCTGCTTTTGTTCCGATTTCAGTTTTGATGAGGGTCGCACAGCTGGCGCAGAGAACGAGGTCGCACTTGGCGTGTGGTTGGTGCTTTCAATTAAAATTTCAACGTGCACGTAACTACTTTTATTGAAATTACGATTGCAGGCAGCTGCACACACACACACACACATACCTACACCCACCTGCCAGCATATGTGTGCATATATGCATGCACATTCAAACGTGTCCACTGACAGCGCATACTTCATTGCATACTTTGCTGGGCATGTGTGTGTGTGTGTGTGTGTGTGTGTGTCTACTTGCCGCCATTCGTGGCTGCTGCCTCTAATGAAGAGCAAAACACAAAGCTTTGGCCTAGCTTGCCATTCACAGTGGACGAATGCGCAACAAATGAATGAGCCGACATATCTCCGGTATGCAAATTCCATTGGCAAAGCCCCGCCACAATGGGAGCTGACTGAAGGTCACAACTGGGCGGCACTTAAGCATTGGGCCATTTAGCTGCGATAACAAATATTGCGGATATTTGATTAATGTTTTTGGGCTAAGCGTAGGGTGGCGGGAGGGGGGGATGGGTGAAGTCTAGTAGTTTTACACAGCGCAAACAACAACAACAGCAACAACAACAAACGCGATTCAACTGTGACAATAAAATGTTCCTGCTTTCTATTCATGTATTCACATAATCCAAGATGAAAAATAGATTTTACCAAAAAAAAAAAAAAAATGTAGAAAAAAATTTAACTGCGCAAAATGCTGACAAGGACATTCCGCCATACTGAGCTCAACATGCTGACGGTGGGGCGGTGGGCGGTGGAGCGGTGGGACGGCTAGGCGTGGCGGTTTGCTTGGCTCGCCTGGGATGTTACATCAGCTAAATGCTTAAGCGCACTAGTCGGAATACCAAAAAAAAAAACAAAGTACAAACTTAAAAAATAAAACAAAAGACAAAAAATAAACTAAGCGACTTGCGACCGGCGACCGACGACAACTCTGAGCGCTGATGGAACCAGCTTGCGTGTTGCTTTCTCTGGTTATTTCTCGCTCTCTCCCTTTCTCTCTCTCTCTCTCTCTCTCGCTCTCATTTTAACACCACGTCTCTGTATGTCTTGCCCACTGACTTTGCTACATGACAATGAAAATCTCTGCAGTGCATTTGTATGTCTGCCTTTTGATGCCCTTGTGCACTAAACTCTATCATCAGCTTCTAGACTGGAAGATACTTTTATTTTTTGTGGTCTATCTTTTCTAGATATGCAGCAGCTAGTTTCAAAAATATTATAACTGTAGATTCTAGAAAATTTGATATACATATATTATGATTTTATTGGGATTGGGCAGTAGGTTTACAAAGGGGGATACCTGATAATCAATCATAAATAGATTGCATTTAATGATCTCAATTAAATTAGAAAATTTCTTCTTTCCTGAATTAAGATAAGTTAGACTTAATATTGTCTGTTCATGCATTTGCAAAAATATTATTATGTGTGATTATAAATTAAGTTACAAACTTTCCACATCAATTATTGCTTCACCTGAGAAAGTACTATAACTATGATGATTAAATTACTAATTGACCAGCATGATTAGATCACTTACATCTTTAAAACAATAATATAAACATATCATACGTACTTGCATTTATTTGTCTGTAGAATTCCTTATTCGAATTATATGCTGTCTCTTAAGTTAACTGTTAGCAATTTTCATTGAATATTCAAGCAAGTTCCTGGATAGTTAGTTAGTTGCCTTTTTCGTTAGGGTATTCGAAATTCGTTGCACTTCTTTGCGGGATTGGTTTGTCTGTTTTTCTTTGCTGCCGCTTCGGTGCTTCGTTTGGAAATTGTCATTTTAGTATTTGGAATTCCCAGCTCTGCTGATTTTCTGCTGTTTCTGCAGTTTTCCAGCTTCCTTTTTTCTTTTGCCGCCGCCGCCGCCAGTCTCATCTATGAGCATTTGGTTGGCAATGCTGAATTAAACCAATCACTACTATTTTCACACTTAACTTGCAATTTGCATAAAATATTACCCAAGACCCAACAGTCAAGCAGACGTTGTCACTGGGGATAGCACATTTCGGGTGGGCTAGGATGGAGGGATCTTTTTTTCTTCTTCTTCCTATGCTGAAGGGTGGGCGGAGGGTTCACAAGATGTTGGCGCTTGCAAATAAGTACGCAGCCATTGACAGTTGCGTGCGAATTTCTTTTTATTTCTTTATATATATATTTTTCACCAACAAACCAACACATACACACACACACACTCATACACTTGGGGCATTGAAAATGTGTTTAGTTCTGCAAAATAAAAATAGAAAAAAAAAACTCATTTTATGTGCTTGCAACACATTCAACACGCGCGCGCTGAAATCTTGACTTTGTTCTTGTGTGTGACATTTTTTTACGCTCTTCGAAATGTGTGAAATGATTAAATTTTAGCTACAAGTGTATTTCATTCATTCGTGTTCAGTTTAGTATATCTCCAGCATGTTTATGCAAAGAGCGTGTGCAGTCATTAGTGCAAATGTTGCCTAAAACTCGAAAACTATGAAACTGCGAAAACTTAACTAAACGCAACTCGTAACAAACCATTACACTACATTTAACAAATGGGTTAGTAGACGCAGACAACGCCAGAGCGGGAAGCGGGTTACTTTGCTGCGGGGGGCACCACCGATCCCCCCCTTTCCTATACCCTTAAGCATAGCTTTAATGCGTGTGCCTTTGACGAGCGCTAACAAAGGCTTTTCAAGCAGCTACGCGCACTCAGAGGACATTAAATGCCCGTTTTGCACATGTCCGAAACAGAGAAATGGCCTCGTCCTCTTGGCCAACTTACTGTAAGTCTTCCAGGCAAAGGTAATGTGCGTGGGCTTTGCGAGTGCCAGGAAAGTGAAACCTGAACTAAACAGACGACGGGCGCTCTAGTGAGGAATGCCCGACTATGAGATACGCTCGTTGTCAGCCCAGCTTGAAAATACCGTTACAAACATCCTAGATCCGTTCTACATATATGATTCTATATATATAGGATAATGTTGCCAGAATTATATGCCAAGTTGATCTAGAGCCCAAGCAATGAGCAAAAAACCAAACCTCGTGAAAATCGGTTGAGTTTTGACCGAGTTACGGGGTAGGAAATTTAGATTTTCTTACAAATCTGGAGAAATTTGACGGAGTTATGGGGGTGAGAAATTGTGACCTATGTCTATAAAGGATATTTGACGGTACCATTTTCACATGAATTTTGACCAAGAAAATTGTTGTCAGATTTAGATGCCAAATTGATCTAGAGGTCAAACCATGAACAAAGAGCCAAACCTCGTGCAAATCTGATGAACTGCGACCGAGTTATGGGGTGGGAAATTTTGAACTATGTCTATATAGGATAATAGCGGGAATACCCCAACCCTTTTCTGCTAGTTTACAACTGTTGCGGGGGAAATTTCTCAAATCGCTGAAACACGTATTCATTAAGTTCTTATGTTGAGAAAATCATTTTAGTTTTTCATACCCTTGTTGATATTTCCTTTTTGCAGATATTTGAAAACGGAGCAGCTCAAAAATGCTTACTTTGTTGAAATATCTTTGAATACAGAATATTTTGCCTTATATGAACCTACTACTCAACCGATCTTTCCTATAGCAGCTATATGATGTGGTCCGATGTTGAACAGTATTGGAAATTTAATGTTGAATAACCTCTGTTTTTTGCCCGATGTTAAGTTTGATGGCATAAACATGGCGTTAAAATGTTTGTATAAATCAAATCAAAAGGCTCTAATATTATAAATTTATTATTTTCAATATGTGGGGGAATAGGGGAATATAAAAAAAATAAATATTCCAACTACCAAATTTGGTGTGCCTAGGTCCTATAGCTCACGAATTTTACTTAGAAAACCAAGTCTCAATATCAATTTGTATCCATTATTTTGGAAATCGAACGAGATACTGACAAAAAATGATGGTAATATATATAAATATATAAATAAGTATATATATACACATATAATGACCATCATCATAGATATACCTAACGATAAATAAGAATATTTGGGGCATGGTGGCAGCAAGCATAAAATTTTTTACTCACAAAGTTAAGTTTATTGCTATAAAGTGAGTGGCTCTTTTACGCTAATATTGTTATGCGATAATTGAATAAAAATAGAATTCTATAAACAATAATCTAAAGTCGACTGTATCTTATGTAGATATATAGCCGAGCCTCGGTTTTAAAGGTATCTTGAAACTTGAAACCGATTTCTATTTGATTAATGTCTGTATAAATCGAACTCTTCGTTCGACGGACTTCAAAGTTTTCTAAATTTACTTCTCTTCAATAGAAAACGAGGGCAAAATGATTATTTCTAGCATAACTTATACACCAGTAAAATTTGTAATTTGTATCTACATAACTTGAGACGTGGAGTTCAAAATAGTGCGTTGAATTGAATTTTCCATGAGGAAAATGGGTGAAACACTGATTTTTAAAATTTCAAGAAAAGCAATTTGAATAGAATAGAAATACCCTACCTTCTTATATCCCATTTCGCGGTGCCAGCGAGCTATCAAGCTCTTCCTAAAAAAGGGCCCAAATTAGTTGGTTTAGAAAGAAATTGCCGGAGCGAGTCTATTTACCGGCTGCTTGCGCTTCTCCATGCAGCTAAATGTGTACCAATGCTCGTCAATGCCAAGCTGCTCGCCATCCTCCAGTGAACAGGGCAGCGTGCGATTCAGTGTCTCCGGCAGCAGTAACAACAATCCGGCAACCAGCAAAGTGAGCACGCCCAGAATGATTTCCGGCAGCAGAAAGAAGATTTTACGCATGTTCGCGAAATCGCTGTATAAGATGCCCGCAAAGCTTATGGTAGAAATAGCACCCAATGCCTGACCACGCACACATGTTGGAATTAGCTCCAAGTTGTACTGAATATTTGAGTTGACGCCAAGTTTGTAAAAAATGCCCCCAATAATATAAAACGTAAACAGTACTCTGGGGGCTGTGGGTGAGAATACAGAAAGTGGGCAAGGTTTTGATTGTGGGCAAGTATTGTAAGCGAAATGAAATAAAAAATTGAAGAAAATTTATTTGTTTTTAAATTGTTTTCCTATATTACTCTACTAAATATTAATTTTTACTTACACACCAAAAACTTTTGCAATGTCCTAAGTAAATCTTACCCAGCGGTATGCATTGATTTTATATTATCAATATAAAACAAAGAAGAGGATCTAGTCGGGAGCTCCCGCCTAGAGAATACCCTGAAGGGCTATAGCAACACCAAATGGAGCTCACACTAAGTGCTCGTTTGCTCTAGCAGTAATACAAATTAAAAAAAAAACTAGCTCCTTTAATATAAGACTCGAACCCGTAATAGAGCACACTACTTACCACCGCCTCTACTAAACATCCATACCATTAATTGACTCTTAGCGAGAAAAAACGAATTAAATAAAGCAACACATACACACTGCACAGAATACAATAGCAATAGAATTCAATAAAGATGCGCATGTGTGTGTGTGCATGTATGCATAAATGCTAGCAATTTGCGCTAGCTGTCGCTGACACGTGGGCAGCCAAAACACATTTTCTTTAATAACTTCTGTGTTTCTTAACCGATCTTGATGAAATTTTCTACAGTAGATCTTATTGTGCTGTAGAACAAAAAACAGGCTTTCGATTTTTATTTTGATTGATTACTGAAAAACGTGGCAAATAATAATTGTACTCTTGTGCTACGACAAAGTTGTAATTAGAATATTAGAAATAAACTGCAGTATATAAAGAAGCACCGATCGATATGTAGCCGTTAATCTAACGACGAAATGCTAATTAATACAATTACAATAAACTGACTCATGCATCATGTGTGAAAGAAACTAGTTCGCAATACTTGTCAAACTATTGGAAACTGTTCTTCAGCACAAACAACTTAGTAATTTCAACAAAATATGCAAGTCTTACAGCGTTTAGCAGCGGGTGAGAGGACGACGCCCGTTACCATGATGAAAATGCACATGAGGAGCAATATTGTAAAAGCCGACGCCTTGCGTCCGATGCGATCTTGCAAGATAATTGCTGCCAAGCTAGCAGGCAGATTACGAATTGCAGCCTGTGAGAACCTTACAAATGGCGAAATCCCAGGGATATCCATATAATGAGCGACGACATTGGCGTAGAAGGGAAATACCAAGCTATGTAGATAAGCGAATGAGGGCGTAGAAACAACAGATTGATGCACATTAGCAAGTTTGAGATTTCTACTCACAATTCAAAAATTATTATAAGAAAGGTGCGGCGTAGGCGCGGCGTTCTGAAGAGGTGCAGCAGATTTGGGTTGGTCTTCGTATTTTGCTGACTTAATTTGCAGTCCTCAATGAATTCTTCAAATTCGCTGTCATTAATTTGGCGGCCATTCATCTTGGCCACACGTCTCAGGGACTCTATAGCCTTGTCATATTTCTGCCTTGAAATCAGCCATTGTACGCTCTCCGGCACAAAATAATAGAAAAACGGCACCACAATTATTGGCAGCGCGTCGAGAAGCATGAAACGACGCCAACTACCTGTGAGGATCGCAATCCAAGGTGTAATTACCAGGCCCAAACAGCTAAAGAAACCGTAAGAGATGTTCAGGCAAACGGTGCGCAAAGAAGGACGCATATATTCCAGAACTGCGATGATTGTCGATTAATTAACCATTCTCTAACGCTGTGGTTTTGCTCACTTAGAATGCGAATAATCAAAAAGTTGCTGTTAACGACGAAACCCATAAGAAATCTAAATATATAAAAAACTTCCAGATTCATGCCAAAGATAGTCAAAAAGTTTCCCAATATGGTAATGACATTGGCGAAAACAAGAATGGGCACCCGACCCAGTCTATCTGCCAAATAGCCCATAAGTAGAGTGCCTATGATGTTGCCCGTATAGAACATGGTGTCTCCCTTCTTAAGTTTCCACTTTTCATCACATATCCAGTTCATTTCGCTGACAAAACCCTGATAGCCCATGTATGACTCATAGTGGTACTTATTGCAGGTGCCAGAGTTGCTTGAATTAGAGTAGAATGGCTTGCATTTGTCTACATTTGGTGGTGGTGGCCCCGAGTCTAGCCCATCAGCACACCTGGGTGTTATTGACAGACGCTAAGTATACGCCATGTTATTAATATTCTTATAAATACTAGAGCCCTGCATCGGTTAAATTATATGAATCAGGCTCGGAACTCTATCGACAGACTTAATGTTTCGACTATTGAGCTTAGCAATGTTCCAATAGACTGGATTCACCAAAGCCGAAGACATTAGTGCATCACGTGAATGAAATTGGAATCGAGCTAATTTCTTTGGTTGAGCCGAATTTTCGGCCGAGTTGACTGACACATAACGGATCAAGGCGATTTAATTTGAGTCGGGTATACGGAACGCGTTTCGGCTGACCCGATGCAGGGCTCTATTACATACCAATGCTTTGGTACAATATTCATTATCCAGTGCGATACGATATGCATGGCCGATAGTAAATTGATCAGAGAAGAGAGAAGCAGCATGATTATCTGCTGCCGATTGAAATCGCCGCATTTTTCCAACATTTTGTCCACTTCCAACATTGTGTTATTTACATATAATTCAAGCACGTGCTAGATTCAATTCACCATAAACCTCTGTCCAGAATAGAACCTTCCCAGAACTCGCTTCTAGTTAGCCAGTGCTCTCAATGTACCGCTGCACTATTTCATGAAAAAACAAATTTAATAATTTAGGTTTGACAGCTTTTTCAGGTAATTGTCAGTGTGTGTATAATGCTTGTAAAATAAGATTAATGAATATCAACTGTGTTAGTACTATCTATTTGTATATATATATGATTTTGTACGGTAAATAACAATAACAAATTTACCACACAAGTAGACCTTCAGACTCTGGTATAACTGATCGACTTTCAGAATACTAGAGGTGTTGATTATACCCCGTGTATACCAGGCCACTGACCAACTGCAAGAATATCTGCACGAGTTTTAGACGTGGGCATCCAAGTGGCGAATTGCTATCAAGAGGCAGAAATCGGTATGCTCCACATTCGCGAGACACGTAATTAGGAGTGTGCCCCCAAGGCGAACTCCTTGAGCATAAAGACGATCATCGCTACCTTGGAGTCCACTTTGATCGCAGGCACACTTGGAGCAAACATATCACAACAAAAACTAAAAAATATGGCATGACTCCTAAAAGAAAGCAGCAATCTTTCTCTGAGCAATAAGGTGCTGCTGGATAAAACCCTACTAGCCCAAGTTTGGAGCTATGCAAACCAAATCTTTGGCATGGCAGTGCCTTTCAATCCAAGGTGGTCAGACTAATTACATGGGATCCCTGGTAAATACGTAAACGGGGACCTAAAGGTTCCCTTGGTGGGTGACCTTCTACGACAGCAGTCCACCAGCTACATGACCCGTCCTTCCTTTACAGAAATTCTTGTATTTTCGATTGCAGCCGCTAACATGTGGCCAGCCAAAACACGGGTTCTTTAAAAACTTTTGTGTTCTTAACCGATTTTTAGTAAATTTTCAGCAGTAGATCTTATTATGCTATACAATATTCGTATTTTCGGACAATTGACAATTGCATTAATTTTTTGCAACAATTTTTGTTGTTCAAATCGGTGGGTAGTGCCAAATGGTGTATTAACTTGATTTATTAGCTATGTAGTGAAGGTGTGGCGATAGTTATAAAATGAAAGATATCTCTATATATAAAACTGTTTGTCCTGACTGACTGACTGACTGACTGACTGATTGGTGATCAACGCACAGCCCAAACCGTAAGAGCTAGGAAGCTGAAATTTTCACTGTAGTTACCTTATGTGATGTAGGTGCACGTTAAGACGGGGTTTCGGGAAATTCCACTCGCAAGTGTGCAAAAATCGCGAAAAACGTTTGTATGTAACTTTTTTGTTTACCATCCGATCGGCCCCAAACTTATTTTCAAAGATCTTTGTTCAAATTCATTTGAGGGGTGTTTCGCACTTTTCGGAAAACCCATTCCTCCTTGGTGGAAATGGAGGTCACAGATTTGGTGGGTGACGTTTCGCGCTCAAATTCATTTCCAGTGATCTATATGAAAAATCATTTGATACGTGTTTCGCACTTTTCGCAGAATTCAAACTTCTTCGGGGGGAATGCGATTTAAAGATTTTTTGGGCGAAGTTTTAAGTTGTGTCCGATTTGCTTCAAAATTATTTTCAAAGCTCTACATAAGAACTTAACAGCGATTTGGGAAATTCCACCCGTAACAGTGGTAAATTGGCGGAACACGGTTGTATGAAAGTTTTTTGTTTACCATCCGATCGGCCCCAAACTCATTTTCAAAGATCTTTGTTCAAATTCATTTAAGGGGTGTTTCACACTTTTCGAAAAATCCGGTCCTCCTTGGTGCAAATGGGGGTCGAAGATTTGGTGGATGACGTTTTGTGTTCAAATTTATTTCCAAAGATCTATACGAAAAATCATTTGAGACGTGTTTCACACTTTTTGCAAAATCTAAACTCCTTCGGTGGAAAATGCATTTCAAAGATTTTTTTGGTGAGTTTTAAGAGTTTTCCGATTTGCATAAAAGTTGTTTGATTCCGATCAGTTTTAAAATCATTTTCAAAGCTTTTTTGATTTTATAACATACGTGCCACGGGCAAGGCCGGGTTATACCCGCTAGTATAATATAATATAATATGTATGAAAGAAGGTACGTGTAACATTTATGGTCTCCAGCTCTTTTAATTTACGAAAAAGGGTCAAAAAAAGGTTTTCTCTATTGACTATTATCGATTGAATGGAAACGACGCAAGTTTTTCGGTATCGATTATTATCGATTGAATGGAAACGATGCAAGTTTTAGATAATCGGAAGCAATTTCTTACTGCGCGGGCACTAGGAGAACCTATGTTACAAATTTCATGTCTCTAGCTCTTATGGGTTCTGAAATCCTTGCGGTCATACGGAAGGACAAACACACGGACATAGCTAGATCGACTCGGCTGTTGATGCTGATTTAGAAATATATATACTTTATGGGGTCGGAGATGCTTGCTTTTTGCCATTCATGTGCTCAAAAACATAATACCCTTTTGACCCATTTTCAATGGGTTCAGGGTATAACAAGTGTCATACAAACGTTTTTCGCGATTTTTCTGCACTTGCGGGATGAATTCCCGGAAACCCCGTCTTAACCTACTTCACATAAGGTAGCTACAGTACAAATTTTAGCTTTCAGCCCTTAAATAGAGATGATGATGGTATAGGTATACCTAGCAAACAATTAGAACATATGGTCAACCATAAAATTTTTACCTAACACAGTTATCACAAAGTTAAGTTTAATGCTATAAAGTGAATAGCTCTTTTACGCTAATATTGTCATGCGATAGTTGAATAAAAATAGAATTCTATAAACAATAATCTAAAGTCGACTGTGTCTTAGATAGATATATAGCCGAACCTCAGTTTTAAAGGTATCTTGAAACTTGAAACCGATTTCTATTTAATTAATGTCTATAAATCGAACTATTTGTTCGACTGACTAACTTCAGTTTTCTAAATTTATTTCTCTTCAATAGAAAACGAGGGCAAAAGCATTATTTTTGGCATTTACTTATACACCATTAAAATTTGTAATTTTGTATCTTCATAACTTGAGACGTGGAATTCAAAATAGTGCGACTAGGTTTGAGTTTTCCACGGGGGAAAAATGGGTGGAACATTGATATTTAAAATTTAAAGAATAGCAATTTGAATAGAATACCTTCTTACATTTCATTTCGTGGTGCCAACGAGCTATCAAGCTCTTCCTAAAAGAGGGGACAAATTAGTTGGTATAGAAAGAAATTGCCGGAGCGAGACCATTTACCGGCTCCTTTCGCTTCTCCATGCACCTAAATGTGTACCAATGCTCGTCAATGCCAAGCTGCTCGCCATCCTCCAGTGAACCGGGCAGCGTGCGATTCAGTGTCTCCGGCAGCAGTAAGAACAATCCGGCACCCAGCAAAGTGAGCACGCCCAGAATGATTTCCGGCAGCGGCAAGAAGATTGTACGCATGTTCATGTAAGGGTTGTGCAATAAGTTCGCAAGGCCTACGGTAGAGAGAGCACCAAATGCCTGACCACGCACACATGTTGGAATCAACTCCAAGGTGTACAGAGTATTTAAGTTGAAGGCAAGGTAGCAAAAAAAGGCCCCAATAACATAAAACGTAAACAGAACTCTGAGGGCTGTGGGCGAGAAAGTCGGCATAGTTTTGATTGTGGGCAAGTATTGTAAGCGAAATTAAATAAAAAATTAAAGAAAATTTGTTTGTTTTTAAATTGTTTTCCTATTCATTGTCTAGAAGAAGGTATTAAAATTTGTCATGAAACTCCATCTTTAAATATTAGTTTTTGCTTACACACCGAAACAACCTCGTACTGCGCGGGCACTAGAAGGACTTTCATTCGAAATGTCTCTGGATTCTATAGGTCCTGATATCTTTGCGTACTGGCAGACGGAAATGGCTAGATCGATTCGGCTATTGATGCTGATCAAGAAAATATATAAAATATTGGGATGGAGGTGCTTCCTTCTGCCTGTTACATACATTTGCACAAATACATTATACGCCTTTTACCCATTTTAAATGGGTTCAGGGTATAAAAAGGAAAAGATATTGTACCCTAAAACAAGTAGCGTTGATAATCGGTAATAATTACTTGTAGTGGTTGCGACTTTATAACAAATCAAAATTTGTGCAATAAATAAAGAAAAATTGTACTTTTGTACTACGACGAAGTTTTAAGCACGTGCAATATTTGAAATAAACTGCAGTATATAAAAAAGCATATATTACGGCATCGTACACCGATGACTTATAGATATGTGGCCGTTAAAATAACGATGAAATGCTAATTAGTTCGAGTAAAATAAACTGCCTCATGCATCGTGCGTGAAAGATACTAGTTCGCAATAATTTGTCTAACTGTTAGAAACTGTACTTCAGTAAATTCAATAAAATATACAAGACTTACAGCGATTAGTAGCGGGTGAGAGGACGACGCCCGTTACCAAGACGGAAATGCACATGAGGAGCTGTATTGTAAAAGCCGACGCCTTGCGTCCGATGCGATCTTGCAGGATAATTGCTGCCAAGCTGGCAGGCAGAAGAGGAGTTACAGACAGTGAGGCCATTACAAATGGCGAAATCCCAAGTCGATTCACATGATAACTGACAGTATTATTGTATAAGGGAAATACCAAGCTATGTATATGAGCGAATGAGGGCGTAGAAAAAGTAGATTTATGCACATTATTCATTCTTCATTCGATTAGATTTCTACTCACAATTCAAACAACAATATTAAAAAGGTGCGGCGTAGGCGCGGCGTTCTGAAGAGGTGCAGCAGATTTGGGTTGGTCTTCGTATTTTGCTGACTTAATTTGCAGTCCTCAATGAATTCCTCATAGACGCTGTCATCAATTTGGCGGCCATTAATCTTGGCCACACGTCTCAGGGACTCTATAGCCTTGTCATATTTCTGCCTTGAGATCAGCCATTGAACGCTCTCTGGCACAAAATAATAGAAAAACGGCACCACAATTATTGGCAGCGCTTCGAGAAGAATGAAACGACGCCAACTACCTGTGAGGATCGCAATCCAAGGTGAAATTACCAGGCCCAAATAGATAAAGAAACCGTAACAGATGTTCAGGCAAACGGTGCGCAAAGAAGGACGCATATATTCCACAACTGCGAAATGATTGTCGATTAATTAACCATTCTCTAACGCTGGGATTGTTTTGCTCACTAAGAAAGCGAATAATCAAAAAGTTGCTGTTAATGACGAAACCGGTAATAAATTGAAATATACAGAAAAGTTCCAGACTAATGCCAAAGATTGTCAAAAAGTTCCCCAATATGGTAATGACATTAGCAAAAACTAGAATGGGCACCCGACCGCAATTGCAACGTAGTTTCCCATTTTCAGTTTCCATTCCTTATCACATATCCAGTTCATTTCGCTGACAAAACCCTGATAGCCCATGTATGACTCATAGTTGTACTTATTGCAGGTGCCAGAGTTGCTTGAATTAGAGTAGAATGGCTTGCATTCGTCTATATTTGGTGGTGGTGGCCCCGAGCCTAGCCCATCAGCACACCTGGGTGTTATTGATAGACGCTAAGTATACGCCATGTTATTAATATTCTTATAAATACTAGAGCCCTGCGTCGGTTAAATTATATGAATCAGGCTTGAATACTCAATCGACAGACTATTGAGCTAAGCAATGTTTGAATAGACTGGATTCACCAAAGCCGAGGACATTAATGGAATCGAGCTAATTTCTTTGGTTGGGCCGAATTTTCGGCCGAGTTGACTGACACATATTTTTTTATGTAACCCAAACGGATCAAAGCGATTAAATTTGAGTCGGGTATACGGAACGCGTTTCGGTTGACTCGATGCAGGGCTCTTTTACATACCAATGCTTTGGCACAGTGTTCATGATCGAGTGTGATACGAAATGCATGGCTGATAGTAAATTGATCAGAGAAGCGAGAAGCAGCATGATTAGCTGCTGTCGATTGAAATCGCCGCATTTTTCCAACATTTTGTCCACTTCCAACATTGTGTTATTAACATATAATTCAAGCACGAGCTACATTTAATTCACCATAAACCTCTGTCCAGAATAGAACCTTCCCAGAACTTGCTTCTAGTTATCCAGTGCTCTCAATGTACGGTCGCACTTGTGGCATTGGCATTGCATCTCACTCTATTTCATGGAAAAACAAATTTAATAATTTAGGTTTGACAGATTTTTTCGATAGCTGTCAGTGTGTGTATAATGCTTGTAAAATAAGATTAATGAATATCAACTGTATTAGTACCATGTGTTTGTATAGATATATGATTTTGTACGGTAAATAACAATAACAAATTTACCACACAAGTAGACCTTCAGACTCTTGTATGACTGATCGACTGTCTGAATACTAAAATACCCATCTACTCACTTCATCTCACTTTCCTGCATACAAAGTACATTTAACAAGTTTCCTGATCTGTTTGATAAAATCTATAATGAAATGTGTTTTTTAAGAATAAATCGAAAACAAATAAGAGGCTCTAGTCGGGAGATACCGACTAGAGGATCCCCTGAACCCTCTTCTATCAACATCGATCATCAAAATTAAAAAATTATTTCCCTCAATAGGACAATGCGGTTACCGTCATACTCCAACAGACTTCTGATGATTAACCTTCCTTCCTTAACTAATCGTAGAATCATGCTGGGTGTAATATTTATCCAAAATATTTATTACTGGTGAAATTGACTCTTCTGTGTTGACTAGCCAATTAAATTTCTCTATTTCTACTAGACTAACACGTAATTTTACACCCTTATCGCTTCAATTTTGCTCAACTAATTATGCCTTGCATGAACCGTTGAGGGTTCTCTGTGATGACTATAACATGCATTACATTCTGCTCTGAGTCTTCTCTGCCTCGTATAAAGTCTTCTATTCTAAACTATTTAGCTAGTAGATAGTCTTATTTTTATTTGTAATTGTATTTGTGCATATACTCGTAGTTTGTATTCGTTTTTTATTTTTTTACTTTGCAACTCGTGGCGTACGTTACACGACTGCGCCCCTCTGTCGGTTGGGCGGGAGGTGGATGCAGTACATTGCAAGCGTTTAAAAAAAAAAAAAAAACTGCTTGTAACCGCCTCTACAAGATCGCCTCTACAACAGCAACAGCAACACCAAAAATTGATTCTTAGTCGGCATGGAACACCGAAGCAGCTTTACCGAGTGGTTGACTTCATCCTTGACAGCCTCGCTTCGAACTAAAAACGTTGCTTCCCCCCTCTCTATTTGATAAATAGTATACCACAGCCTCCTCAAAAATAGAAAATTTGTTGTGGTAATCGACGGTACGTTAACTGGAGTCAGGGAAATCCAGCAGCTTTGCTCCATGGCTATACACTGTTGACACAGCCGACATGCCGACGATGGACCAGACGACACTGGATCATCCCGATAGCTTCAACCTCGCCACGTACGCCGACGACATAGCAATCCTCTCCAAAGCCAGCTGCAAGAATACCTGCACGAGTTTGAGACGTGGGCATCCAAGTGGCGAATTGCTATCATCAGGCAGAAATCGGTATGCTCCACATTCGCGATCCGCAAAAACACGTCGTTAGGAGTGTGCCCCCAAGGCGAGCTCCTTGACCATAAGGACGGTCACCGCTGCGGCAAAAACTACAAAATAGAGCATGGCTCCTAAAAGAATTCAGCAAGCTTTCTCTGAGCAATAAGGTGCTGCTGTATAAAACCCTACTAGCCCCAGTTTGGCGCTATGCAAACAAAATCTTTGGCACGGCAGAAAAATTGCATTGGAGGAAAATTAGTATCTTTCAATCCAAGGTGGTCAGACTAAGTACTAGCGATCCCTGGTACATACGTAACCGGGCCTTAGCAAGAGACCTAAAGGTTCCCTTGGTGGGTCACCCGTCTTTCTGCCCACCCAATATATTGGCGAGAAGGCTTTGAAGTAGAAAGCGACTGAGACTTCGCAGGATCCACTCCATCGATCTCCCAAACCGGGTACTCAGATAAAGAAAAGCTAAATCAAATAATTATAAAACTTAAAAAGTAATGTTAAGTATGTTAATCGCATTATTGTAAATCTAGGTTAAGATGATCAAGAATCGACAACAATCGCAATTGCAATGCTGTTGATAGAATTCAATAAAGACGTGCGTGAATGTGTGTGTAAATGTATACAGATAATTGACAATTGCATTAAAATTGTGGCTTAAATTGGTGGGTAGTGCCAATTGGTGTATTAACTTGCTTTATTAGCTATGTAGTGTAGGTGAAGGGGTGGCAATAGTTATAATATTAAAGATATAATATATATACTATTTATGAAGGTACTTGTCAAATTTATGGTCTCCAGCTCTTATAATTTACGAGATTTGCTCGAAAGCTTGGAGGACCTACCTTCTTTCTTCAAGATTCTGAGATCCTTGCATTCGTATATACGGACGAACGGACATGGCTGTTGATGCTGATCAAGAATATATATACTTTATGGGGTCGGAGATGCTACATGTTATATATATTTTCACAAATACATTATACCCTTTTTACCCATTTTTAATGGGTTCATAAAACGCGTTTCGGATATTTGCACAAATATTTGGCGAGCAAGTAACGACTCAAATATATATTGGATCAAGATGTTCGAGTTGCAGACTTAACTGGTTCAATCGAAAATAAAGTAAAGATGACAAAGTAAAATTTAATGCCCTTCTAGACGTTTCCGTTTTGCAGATATGGAGAATAGTGCAGCGTGATAATGCTGAGGTTGTTGTTAGATCTTTGATTACAGAATATTTTGCCTCATAAGATTATACGATTTCACCGATCTTTCCTATAGCAGCTATATGATAAAATGTTCCGATGCTGAACAGGATTGGAAATTCAATGTTTAATAACCTGTGTTTTTCGTCCGATGTTAATAAAAGTTTGAGGGCATAAACATGGCGTTTAAATGTATGTATAAACCAAATCAAAAGGCTCAAACATTAAAAATTAATTATTTTCAATATGTGGGGGAATGGGGGAATATCAAAAATTAAATATTCCAAATACCAAATTTGGTGTGCCTAGGTCCTCTAGCTCACGAATTTTACTTAGAAAACCAAGTCTCAATATCAATTTGTATCCATTATTTTGGAAATGGAACGAGATACTGACAAAAAATGATGGTAATATAATATCAAATATATAAATATGTATATATATACACATATAATGGCCATCTATACGATAAAAAAGAATATTTGGGGCATGGGGGCAGCAAGTTAAGTTTATTGCTATAAAGTGAGTGGCTCTTTTACGCTAATATTGTTATACGATAGTTGAATAAAAATAGAATTCTATAAACAATAATCTAAAGTCGACTGTATCTTATGTAGATATATAGCCGAGCCTCGGTTTTAAAGGTATCTTGAAACTTGAAACCGATTTCTATTTGAATAATGTCTGTATAAATCGAACTCTTCGTCCGACAGACTTCAAAGTTTTCTGAACTTTACTTCTCTTCAATAGAAAACGAGGGCAAAATGATTATTTCTAGCATTAACTTATACACCAGTAAAATTTGTAATTTTGTATCTACATAACTTGAGACGTGGAGTTCAAAATAGTGCGTTGAATTGAATTTTCCATGAGGAAAATGGGTGAAACACTGATTTTTAAAATTTCAAGAAAAGCAATTTGAATAGAATAGAAATACCCTACCTTCTTATATCCCATTTCGCGGTGCCAACGAGCTATCAAGCTCTTCCTAAAAGAGGGGACAAATTAGTTGGTATAGAAAGAAATTGCCGGAGCGAGTCTATTTACCGGCTGCTTGCGCTTCTCCATGCAGCTAAATGTGTACCAATGCTCGTCAATGCCAAGCTTCTCGCCATCCTCCAGTGAACAGGGCAGCGTGCGATTCAGTGTCTCCGGCAGCAGCAAGAACAATCCGGCACACAGCAAAATGAGCACGCCCAGAATGATTTCCGGCAGCGGGAAAAAAATGTTACGCATGTTCAAAATGCAACCCTTGCATATTAAAAACGAATAGCTTATGGAATAGAGAGCACCCAATGCCTGACAACGCACACAAGTCGGAATAAGCTCCAAGGTGTACTGCATATTTGAAAAAAATGCAAGTTGGCTAAAACCTAACCCAATCACATAAAACGTAAACAGTACTCTGGGGGCTGTGGGCGAGGATACAGAAAGTCGACATAGTTTTGATTGTGGTCAAGAATTGTAAGCAAAACTAAATAAAAAATTAAGAAATTTGTTTGTTTTTAATTTTTTTCACTGTCCAGAAGTAGAAGGTATTAAAATTTGTCATGAAATCCCAAGAAGTGATCAGTCCATATTTAAATATTAGTTTTTACTTACACACCGCTTAACTTATGTAATGTCCTAGGTATCAGTACCCAGCGATATGGATGAATTTTGTATTATCATTATGAATTAAGAGGATTCGGGAGCTCCCGCCTAGAGAATACCCTGAACCCTCTTCTACTAGTACCACGTGAAGGTCGCGGTACGTGCTCGTTTGCTTTAGGGATAATAAAAATAAATTTAAAAAAAACAAGAAAGAAGTGCTATCTTCGGCACACCGAAGATTTAATACCCTTGCAGACCCAACCTTTTCAAAATGCTCATAGTGCTTTGCCCGTATCTAAGAAGCACAGGGAAAATAATTAATGCCGAGTATGGTTAAGATATCTTGAAAAACAAAACAGGTTTCCATACAACTTAATTTTCGACCGATCGTTCCTATGGCAGCTATATGATATAGTAGCCCGATGTGAATAAGATTTTGCATAAGTGGAGGGAGCATAGTAAAACTAATAAATGCCGAGTTTGGTCAAGATATCTTGAAAAACAAAAAAAATTCCATACAACAGCATAATTTTCGACTGATCGTTCCTATGGCAGCTATATGATATAGTTGTCCGATCTTAATAGAATTTTGCATATATATGGGGACCGTAGTAAAACTAATAAATACCGAGTTTGGTTAAGATATCTTGAAACACATAAAAATTTTCTATACAAAAAATTAATTTTCCACCGATCTTTCCTATGGCAGCTATATGATATAGTGGTCCGATCTTAATAGGATTTTGCATATATATGGGGAGCCTAGTAAAACTAATAAATACCGAGTTTGGTCAAGATATCTTGAAAAACAAAAAAAATTCCATACAACAGCATAATTTTCGACCGATCGTTCCTATGGCAGCTATATGATATAGTTGCCCGATCTTAATAGAATTTTGCATATATATGGGGAGCTTAGTAAAACTAATAAGTACCGAGTTTGGTCAAGATATCTTGAAAAACATAAAAATTTTCTATACAAAAACTTAATTTTCGACCGATCGTTCCTATGGCAGCTATATGATATAGTTGCCCGATCTTAATAGGATTTTGCATATATATGGGGAGCGTAGTAAAACTAATAAATACAAAGTTTAGTAAAGATAACTTTATAAACAAAAATGTTTTTCATACAAGAACCTACTTTTCGACCGATCGTTCCTATGGCAGCTATATGATATAGTGGTCCGATCCAGCTGGTTTTGACATATGAGCTGCGTGCAACAGAAAGAGGGAATTCTGCAAAGTTTCATAAAGATAGCTTTAAAACTGAGAGACTAGTTCGCATAGAAACAGACAGACGGACAGACGGACATGGCTATATCAACTCGGCTGTTGATACTGATCAAGAATATATATACTTTATGGGGTCGGAGATGTCTCCTTCTATGCGTTACACATTTCACGACAAAATTATAATACCCTCTGCAAGGGTATAAAAACAAGTTCCTTCAATATGACTCGAACCCGTAGTAGACCACACTACTTACCGCCGCCTCTATTCAACAGCAATACCACCAATTGACTCTTAGCGGCAAAAAAAAAACGAACTAAAATAGCAATACATACAGCACAGAATACAATACCATCGCAATTGCAATGCTGTTGATAGAATTCAATAAAGACGCGCATGAATGTGTGTGGGTGCATGTATACAGAAATTCATGAAATTTGCGGTAGCTGTCGCTGACACGTGGGCAGCCAAAACACATTTTCTTTAATAACTTCTGTGTTTCTTAACCGATCTTGAGGAAATTTTCTACAATAGATCTTATTGTACTGTAGAATAATCGTGTCTTCTCGAAATGATAATTGCATTAAAACTGTGGCTTAAATTGGTTGGCAGTACAAATTGCTGTTTTTGCTTAATTTATATTATTTAGGGGTGGGGGGATGCCTATAAAATTAAAAATACTTGATACTTGTTGCCTATAGGTCTTATAGCTAACGAAATTTGCTCAAAAAACAGGCTTTCGATTTTCATTTTAATCGATTACTGGGAAATGGCGCAAATTATAATTGTACTCTTGTTATACGACAAAGAAATAAACTGCAGTATTTAAAGAAGCACATATTACCACATCGTACACCGATGACTTATCAATATGTGGGCGTTAACATAATACGATTACAATAAACTGGCTCATGCATCGTGCGTGAAAGAAACTAGTTCGCAATACTTTGTCTAACTGTTAGAAACTGTTCTTCAGTAAATTCAACAAAATATACAAGACTTACAGCGATTAGCAGCGGATGAGAGGACGACGCCCGTTACCAACATGCAAATGCATATGAGGAGCAATATTGTAAAAGCCAATGCCTTGCGCCCGATGCGATCATGCAGGATAATTGCTGCCAAGCTGGCAGGCAGAAAAGGAGTTACAGTCAGTGCGGCCATTACAAATGGCGAAATCCCAAGGCTTTTCACACGATAAGAGACGATTATGTTGAAGAAGGGAAGTACCAAGCTATGTAGATAAGCGAATGAGGGCGTAGAAACAACAGATGCACATTAGAAAGTTCATTCGATGAGATGTCTACTCACAATTCAAACAATAATATTAAAAAGGTGCGGCGTAGGCGGGGAGTTTTGAAGAGGTGCAGTAGATTTGGGTTGGTCTTCGTATTTTGCTGACTTAATTTGCAGTCCTCAATGAATTCCTCATAGACGCTGTCATCAATTTGGCGGCCATTAATCTTGGCCACACGTCTCAGGGACTCTATAGCCTGGTCATATTTCTGCCTTGAGATCAGCCATTGTACGCTCTCCGGCACAAAATAATAGAAAAATGGCACCACAATTATTGGCAGCGCATCGAGAAGAATGAAACGACGCCAACTACCCATAAGGATCGCTATTGAAGGTGTAATTACCATGCCCAAATAGATAAAGAAACCGTAACAGATGTTCAGGCAAACGGTGTGCAAAGAAGGACGCATATATTCCACAACTGCGAAATGATTGTCGATTAATTAACCATTCTTTAACGCTGTGATTGTTTTGCTCACTAAGAATGCGAATAATCGAAAAGTTGCTGTTAACGACGAAACCATTAAGAAATCGAAACATACAAAACAGTTCGAAATTCACGCCAAAGATTGTCAAAAAGTTTCCCAATACGGTAATGACATTGGCGAAAACAAGAATGGGCACCCGACCCAGTCTATCTGCCAAATAGCCCATAACTAGACTGCCTAACACGCAGCCCGCAATTTGAATGTTGTATGCCCGTTTCAGTTTCCATTCCTTATCACATATCCAGTTCATTTCGCTGACAAAACCCTGATAGCCCATGTATGACTCATAGTGGTACTTATTGCAGGTGCCAGAGTTGCTTGAATTAGAGTAGAATGGCTTGCATTCGTCTATATTTGGTGGTGGTGGCCCCGAGCCTAGCCCATCAGCACACCTGGGTGTTATTGATAGACGCTAAGTATACGCCATGTTATTAATATTCTTATAAATACTAGAGCCCTGCGTCGGTTAAATTATATGAATCAGGCTTGAATACTCAATCGACAGACTATTGAGCTAAGCAATGTTTGAATAGACTGGATTCACCAAAGCCGAGGACATTAATGGAATCGAGCTAATTTCTTTGGTTGGGCCGAATTTTCGGCCGAGTTGACTGACACATATTTTTTTATGTAACCCAAACGGATCAAAGCGATTAAATTTGAGTCGGGTATACGGAACGCGTTTCGGTTGACTCGATGCAGGGCTCTTTTACATACCAATGCTTTGGCACAGTGTTCATGATCGAGGATGATACGAAATGCATGGCTGATAGTAAATTGATCAGAGAAGAGAGAAGCAGCATGATTAGCTGCTGTCGATTGAAATCGCCGCATTTTTCCAACATTTTGTCCACTTCCAACATTGTGTTATTAACATATAATTCAAGCACGAGCTACATTTAATTCGCCATAAACCTCTGTCCAGAATAGAACCTTCCCAGAACTTGCTTCTAGTTATCCAGTGCTCTCAATGTACGGTCGCACTTGTGGCATTGGCATTGCATCTCACTCTATTTCATGGAAAAACAAATTTAATAATTTAGGTTTGACAGATTTTTTCGATAGCTGTCAGTGTGTGTATAATGCTTGTAAAATAAGATTAATGAATATCAACTGTATTAGTACCATGTGTTTGTATAGATATATGATTTTGTACGGTAAATAACAATAACAAATTTACCACACAAGTAGACCTTCAGACTCTTGTATGACTGATCGACTGGCAGAATACTAAATCTACTCACTTCACCTCACTTTCCTGCATACAAAGTACATTTAACAAGTTTCCTGATCTGTTTGATAAAATCTATAATGAAATGTGTTTTTTAAGAATAAATCGAAAACAAATAAGAGGCTCTAGTCGGGAGATACCGACTAGAGGATCCCCTGAACCCTCTTCTATCAACATCGATCATCAAAATTAAAAAATTATTTCCCTCAATAGGACAATGCGGTTACCGTCATACTCCAACAGACTTCTGATGATTAACCTTCCTTCCTTAACTAATCGTAGAATCATGCTGGGTGTAATATTTATCCAAAATATTTATTACTGGTGAAATTGACTCTTCTGTGTTGACTAGCCAATTAAATTTCTCTATTTCTACTAGACTAACACGTAATTTTACACCCTTATCGCGTCAATTTTGCTCAACTAAATATGCCTTGCATGAACCGTTGAGGGTTCTCTGTGATGACTATAACATGCATTACATTCTGCTCTGAGTCTTCTCTGCCTCGTATGAAGTCTTCTATTCTAAACTATTTAGCTAGTAGATAGTCTTATTTTTATTTGTAATTGTATTTGTGCATATACTCGTAGTTTGTATTCGTTTTTTATTTTTTTTTACTTTGCAACTCGTGGCGTACGTTACACGACTGCGCCCCTCGGTCGTTTGGGCGGGAGGTGCGATGCAGAACATTGCATCGAGACAAGCGTTAAAAAAAAAAAAACTGCTTGTAACCGCCTCTACAAGATCGCCTCTACAACAGCAACAGCAACACCAAAAATTGATTCTTAGTCGGCATGGAACACCGGAGCAGCTTTACCGAGTGGTTGACTTCATCCTTGACAGCTTCGCTTCGAACTAAAAACGTTGCTTCCCCCCTCTCTATTTGATAAATAGTATACCACAGCCTCCCCAAAAATAGAAAATTTGTTGTTGTAGTCGACGGTACGTTATCTGGAGTCAGGGAAATCCAGCAGCTTTGCTCCATGGCTCTACACTGTTTACACCGCCGATATGTCGACGATGGACCAGACGACACTGGATCATCCCAATAGCTTCAACCTCGCCACGTTCGCCGACGACATAGCAATCCACTCCAAAGCCAGCTGTGTATACCAAGCCACTGACCAACTGCAAGAATACCTGGACGAGTTGGAGACGTGGGCATCCTAGTGGCGAATTGCTATCAACAGGAGGAAATCGGTATGCTCCTTTTTCGCGATTCGCAAAGACACGTCGTTAGGAGTGTACCCCAAAGGCAAACTCCTTTTCAACGGGTTCAGGTTATAAATAAATATTTATTCATATAAAATATATACATATAAATATATATATATATATATAAGTATATATATATAATGGTTTTAATTTTTATTTCATGTAATCGATTGAACAGTGAACAGACTTATACCAACGATTGTCAAAACGTTGCCCATAATAGAAATGTCCAAATTAAGAGCGGGCAGCCGACGCACCCTGTCCCCCCCATATAGCCCAGAACAAGAGTGCTTAACACGGAGCGCAGAGTCTTCCAGGTTGTTTTCACGCCTTATCTCATATCCAGTTCGTTTCGCTGGCAAAGTTTTGATAGCCCATGTATGACTCATAGTGGTACTTATTGCAGGTGCCAGAGTTGCTTGAATTCGAGTAGAATGGCTTGCATTCGCCTATATTTGGTGGTGGTGGCCCCGAGTCTAGCCCATCAGCACACCTGGGTGTTATTGACGGGCGTTAAGTATACGCCATGTAATAAATATGGTCCTTATGCATACCAAAAAATTGATTATCGCTTGAGATTCGTAATGCATGGTCAAGTTCTCATTTAGAAGACTAGTGAGTATTTGTTTTGTTTTAATTCACTTCCAACGCTGTTTTATTTATGTTTAAAGCAGCTTCTGCAGTAATACTCACTGTGTATCTTTGACAAGAACAGAGACTAGAACTTCACAGTGTACCGCTGCACTTGTGGCACTTGCATCGCTTCTCATTTTGTTTAATTTGCTTATTCACTTAATTATTACAGTCATCGAACGCTTTGAGTTGCCGCTTAGTCTCAGTTTCGTGAAAAAAAAATGTTATGATTTAGATTTGATAGGTATTACAGGAAATTGCCTGTGTGTGTTTTAATGCTAGTGAGATAATATGAAAAACAGAGCCAAAGACAATATAAACACTAAAATGAGTAACGCCATACAATAAAATGCTACTCTGCAGCTTGCCTTGCAGAGGGTATTATAATTTGGTCGTGAAATGTGTAACGCATAGAAGGAGACATCTCCGACCCCATAAAGTATATATATTCTTGATCAGTATCAACAGCCGAGTTGATATAGCCATGTCCGTCTGTCCGTCTGTCTGTTTCTATGCGAACTTGTCTCTCAGTTTTAAAGCTATCTTTATGAAACTTTGAAGAAATCCCTCTTTCTGCTGCACGCAGTTCATATGTCAAAATCAGCTGGATCGGACCACTATATCATATAGCTGGCATAGGAACGATCTGTCGAAAAGTAGGTTCTTGTATGAAAAACATTTTTGTTTATAAAGATATCTTGATCAAACTCGGCATTTATTAGTTCTATATATATGCAAAGTCCTCTTAAGATTGGACCACTATATCATATAGCTGCCATAGGAACGATCGGTCAAAAATTAAGTTGTTATATGGACAATTTGTTTGTTTTTACAATATCTTGACCAAACTCGGCATTTATTTGTTTTACTATTCTCCTTACATATATGCAAAATCCTATTAAGATCGGACCACTATATCATATAGCTGCCAAAGGAACGATCAGTCGAAAATTAAGTTGTATAGAAAACTTTTTGTTTTTTAAGACATCTTAACCATACTCGGCATTGACTTTTTTCCCTGTGCTTTTTAGATATGAACATTATGCAAAGGTTGAGTCTGCAAGGGTATTAAATGTTCGGCGTGCCGAAGATAGCCCTTCCTTCTCGTTTGAAATTTGAGAACGAAAACGAAATCTGTATCATTGCGCTCTCACAGCCGAAAGAGCGAAAAGCTAAAAATATAATGTACTCTCAGCTTCGGCTCTATGAGAGCACAACATGCATTCATATGTGAATACAAATTTGGGATAGGTCGTGCATGATCAGCGCTAGAAAACTAACAACATTTATTTCTTCACCAGCCAAAGCCAAGGCAGTGAATAACAACACATATACATATACATGCATAATTCACACATGCAAACATAGGGGCTTGCAAGAAGTTCTCTCGAGCACACACTGTCGAAAAACGAAAGTGAAATAAATCTATGTGTGATATTTTCTTAACATAGTTATTGCACAAGTTGCGCCTTGTAAAAAAATTATTTTATTCTTAATTTTTCCTGCAATAATTATAGTTATTATTTAGGGTAATGTATCATTTAAATAAAGCTTGCATTTCATGGATAAAGCAGAAGTACTTCGTATGCGAAGCGACGCAAAGCACCATCGACCAGCTATGCTGAAGGCAGGCTGGCGACTAACCTCGTTGCTCGTGTCAGCGCATCAGCAAGCCGCGACTTCGGCAGTCGTTCGTCTGAACGAACAGCCGTCAACAGGCGGGTCGTGCGAAGCCTCAAAGACCAGATGAAACGCCAGGCTAGAAATTTTGCGTCGCATGCAAATGTATGGGCGTTACTCATCTTAGTGTTTATATTTTCTTTGACAGACCCTGCATGGAATCAACTAAAACGCGTTTCGGATATTTGAAAAAATATTTGTCGAGCAAGTTAGGGCTCAAATATATCGGATGAAGATGTTCGAGTTGCAGACAAAAAATCGAGTCGGTCGAATCGACTGTTTCAATTGAAAATAAAGTAAAACTGAGAAAGTAAAGATATTTTCAGCATGCCTAAGATTTAAAGCATTCCTATCTTCCAGACATTTTCCTTTTGTTAAAATATCTTTGAAAACAGAATATTTTGCCTTATAAGAACTTACTATTCCACCGATCTTTCCTATAGCAGCTATATGATATAGTGGTCCGATGGACAGTATTGGAAGCTTAATGTTGAATAATCTCTGTTTTTCGTCCGATGTTAATAAAAGTTTGAGGGCATAAACATGGCGTTTAAATGTATGTATAAACCAAATCAAAAGGCTCAAACATTAAAAATTAATTATTTTCAATATGTGGGGGAATGGGGGAATATCAAAAATTAAATATTCCAAATACCAAATTTGGTGTGCCTAGGTCCTCTAGCTCACGAATTTTACTTAGAAAACCAAGTCTCAATATCAATTTGTATCCATTATTTTGGAAATGGAACGAGATACTGACAAAAAATGATGGTAATATAATATCAAATATATAAATATGTATATATATACATATATAATGGCCATCTATACGATAAATAAGAATATTTGGGGCATGGGGGCAGCAAGTTAAGTTTATTGCTATAAAGTGAGTGGCTCTTTTACGCTAATATTGTTATACGATAGTTGAATAAAAATAGAATTCTATAAACAATAATCTAAAGTCGACTGTATCTTATGTAGATATATAGCCGAGCCTCGGTTTTAAAGGTATCTTGAAACTTGAAACCGATTTCTATTTAATTAATGTCTGTATAAATCGAACTCTTCGTTCGACGGACTTCAAAGTTTTCTGAAATTTACTTCTCTTCAATAGAAAACGAGGGCAAAATGATTATTTCTAGCATTAACTTATACACCAGTAAAATTTGTAATTTTGTATCTACATAACTTGAGACGTGGAGTTCAAAATAGTGCGTTGAATTGAATTTTCCATGAGGAAAATGGGTGAAACACTGATTTTTAAAATTTCAAGAAAAGCAATTTGAATAGAATAGAAATACCCTACCTTCTTATATCCCATTTCGCGGTGCCAACGAGCTATCAAGCTCTTCCTAAAAGAGGGGACAAATTAGTTGGTATAGAAAGAAATTGCCGGAGCGAGTCTATTTACCGGCTGCTTGCGCTTCTCCATGCAGCTAAATGTGTACCAATGCTCGTCAATGCCAAGCTTCTCGCCATCCTCCAGTGAACAGGGCAGCGTGCGATTCAGTGTCTCCGACAGCAGTAAGAACAATCCGGCACCCAGCAAAGTGAGCACGCCTAGAATGATTTCCGGCAGCAGCAAGAAGATTTTACGTATGTTCGTGAAATCTTCGTATAATAATCCCGCATAGCTTATGGTACAAAAAGCACCCAATGCCTGACCACGCACACATGTTGGAATTAGCTCCAAGCTGTGCTGAATATTTGAGTTGACGCCAAGTTTGTTAAAAATGCCCCCAATAATATAAAACGTAATCAGTACTCTGGGGGCTGTGGGCGAGAATACAGAAAGTGGGCAAAGTTTTGATTGTGGGCAAGTATTGTAAGCGAAATGAAATAAAAAATTGAAGAAAATTTATTTATTTATTTTTAAATAGTTTTCCTATGTTACTCTACTAAAAATTAGTTTTCGCCTAGAGAATACCCTGAGGGGCTATACCAACACCAAATGGAGCTCGCGCTAAGTGATCGTTTGGTTTAGCAGCAATACAAATTAAAAAAAAAAAACTAGCTCCTTTAATATAAGACTCAAACCCGTAATAGAGCACACTACTTACCACCGCCTCTACTAAACAGCCATACCATCAATTGACTCTTAGCGAGAAAAAAACGGATTAAATAAAGTAACACATACACACTGCACAGAATACAATAGCAATAGAATTCAATAAAGATGCGCATGTGTGTGTGTGCATGTATGCATAAATGCTAGCAATTTGCGCTAGCTGTCGCTGACACGTGGGCAGCCAAAACACATTTTCTTTAATAACTTCTGTGTTTCTTAACCGATCTTGATGAAATTTTCTACAGTAGATCTTATTGTGCTGTAGAACAAAAAACAGGCTTTCGATTTTTATTTTGATTGATTACTGAAAAACGTGGCAAATAATAATTGTACTCTTGTGCTACGACAAAGTTGTAAGCACGTACAATATTAGAAATAAACTGCAGTATATAAAGAAGCACTCATTACGGCATCGTACACCGATCGATATGTAGCCGTTAACCTAACGACGAAATGCTAATTAATACAATTACAATAAACTGACTCATGCATGCGTGTGTGAAAGAAACTAGTTCGCAATTCTTGTCAAACTATTGGAAACTGTTCTTCAGCACAAACAACTTAGTAATTTCAACAAAATATACAAGACTTACAGCGGTTAGCAGCGGATGAGAGGACAACGCCCGTTACCAACATGAAAATGCACATGAGGAGCAATATTGTAAAAGCCAACGCCTTGCGTCCGATGCGATCTTGCAAGATAATTGCTGCCAAGCTAGCAGGCAGATTACGAGTTGCAGCCTGTGAGAACCTTACAAATGGCGAAATCCCAGGGATATCCATATAATGAAAGACGACATTGGCGTAGAAGGAAAATACCAAGCTATGTAGATAAGCGAATGAGGGCGTATAAACAACAGATTGATGCACATTAGCAAGTTTATGAGATTTCTACTCACAATTCAAAAATTATTATAAGAAAGGTGCGGCGTAGGCGCGGCGTTCTGAAGAGGTGCAGCAGATTTGGGTTGGTCTTCGTATTTTGCTGACATAATTTGCAGTCCTCAATGAATTCCTCAAAATCGCTGTCATCAATTTGGCGGCCATTAATCTTGGCCACACGTCTCAGGGACTCTATAGCCTTGTCATATTTCTGCCTTGAGATCAGCCATTGTACGCTCTCCGGCACAAAATAATAGAAAAACGGCACCACAATTATTGGCAGCGCATCGAGAAGCATGAAACGACGCCAACTACCCATGAGGATCGCAATCCAAGGTGAAATTACCAGGCCCAAACAGATAGAGAATTCGTAACAGATGTTCAGGCAAACGGTGCGCAAAGAAGGACGCATATATTCCAGAACTGCGAAATGATAGTCGATTAATTAACCATTCTGTAACGCTGTGATTGTTTTGCTCACTAAGAATGCGAATAATCAAAAAGTTGCTGTTAACGACGAAACCGGTAATAAATTGAAATATACAAAAAAGTTCCAGACTCATGTCAAAGATTGTCAAAAAGTTTCCCAATACGGTAATGACATTGGCAAAAACTAGAATGGGCACCCGACCAAGTATATCTGCCAAATAGCCCATAATTAGACTGCCTATCACGCAGCCCGCCAAGAATATGTACTTTCCCTTCCTAAGTTTCCACTTTTCATCACATATCCAGTTCATTTCGCTGACAAAACCCTGATAGCCCATGTATGACTCATAGTGGTACTTATTGCAGGAGCCAGAGTTGCTTGAATTAAAGTAGAATGGCTTGCATTCGTCTATATTTGGTGGTGGTGGCCCCGAGTCTAGCCCATCAGCACACCTGTGTGACAGACGTTAAGTATACGCAATGTTATTAATATTCTTATAAATACTAGAGCCCTGCCTCGGTTAATTCATGTGAATCAGGCTCGGATACTCAATCGACAGACTGGATCTTTCGACTATTGAGCTAAACAATGTTCGAATAGACTGGATTCATCAAAGCCGAAGACATTAATTCATCACGTGAATGAAATTGGAATCGTGCTATTTTCTTTGATTGAGCCGAATTTTCGGTCGAGTTGACCCACACATATTTTTTTCTGCAACTCAAGCGGATCGTGGCGATAAAATTTAAGTGGGGTATCCGAAACGCGTTTCGGTTGACTCGATGCAGGGCTCTTTTACATACCAATGCTTTGGCACAATAATTATTATCCAGTGTGATACGACATGCATGGCTGATAGTAAATTGATCAGAGAACAGAGGAGCAGCATGATTAGCTGCTGCCGATTGAAATCGCCGCATTTTTCCAACATTTTGTCCACCTCCAACATTGTGTTATTTACATATAATTCAAGCACGTGCTAGATTCAATTCACCATACACCTCTGTCCAGAATAGAACCTTCCCAGAACTCGCTTCTAGTTAGGCAGCGCTCTTAATGTACCGCTGCACTATTTCATGAAAAAACAAATTTAATAATTTAGGTTTGACAGATTTTTCAGGTAGCTGTCAGTGTGTGTAAAATAAGATTAATGAATATCAAGTTTATTACTATCATCTATAGGTACAGATATATGATTTTGTACGGCAAATAACAATAACAAATTTACCACACAAGTAGATCTTCAGACTCTTGTATGACTGATCGACTGTCAGATGTTGATGCTACCCCGTTTTGAACCCACCTACCACCGATCAGGTCAGAATTTAATTTCCAATTATTTGCAGCATACAAAGTTCATTTCAAAGGTTTCTTGATCGTTTGATAAGATCTATGTTTTTTTAAATATGGTATCCTCTGGACGGATAAACGGACATGTAGATGCTAATGATGATCTAGTATATAGATATTTTTCTTATGTGGTCGGAGAGGTCGAGACAAAATTGTAATACCTTCTACAAGAATACAGAGTGCTTTGGCAAAAACCACTCTCTGATTGCAGAACGGGTATTTAATTGTTTAATTACAACATGTATTGCATCGATTGACAAGCAATGCGAATGTTGTTACACAAATGGTTAACCATTCAGATCATTAAAATGCAACAACATATTTGGCCCGAATTCATTTCGTGCAATTGTCCGGGGGCAGGCTCCATGAGTAGAGGCTCTAATGTTGCCACTGGTTTTGTTGGCAGCCCTCAAAGCACTCAAATGCCAACAAACAATGTGCACACACACACACACACACACAGATACTCACACACACTCACACATATGCAGCATGAAGCGCTGGCATTGTGTTAACAAATACACTTAGGCAAACACATAATTTCGAGTATTTAACTAAAATAAACAGGGTGTAAAACATTTTATTGCATGTGATGGCCCCTTGCCGCTGTGTGTGTGTGTGTATGCCCTCCCCTCCCCTCCCACTGGCTCGTCAGCCATGTCATGCCCATGCTGCAGTGTCATGTGTTTTTTTTTTTCATGCCACGTTTACGCTTTGCATTTTAACAGTTGCACTCGCACAGACACTGGCAAACAATCGGACACACACACACACACACAGAATATTTGCATTTCAGTCACTTGCACTTTTGACTGCTACTGCTACTGCTACTGCTGCTGCTGCTGCTGCTGCTGCTGCTACTGCTGCCGGCCCTTTTGCTCGGCTCTGTCTCTCACATTTGCCTTTTTTGCCTGGCACTTTAGCACATTTCCATTTGCAATTGTTATATCCTGCTTTGTGCTCAAACACATTTGTGGGTGTCTGTAAGTGTGTGTGTGTGTGTGTGTGCGTGTGTGTGAGGCTGCGTGCCTCAAGCATTTTGCTTTCTTGCATTTTATATTAAACAATATGCCGCTTAAAGAGTGGCACGCGTGAATATTCATAAAAAAAAAAATCACACGGAAAAAAAACTTGGCATGCAGCTAATTAAAAGAGCTGTAAATTACGCGAGATGTGAGCCAGCTAAATGCAAATGCAAGCCTTAAATAGTTGTTAAGGAGGGGGGGGGGGGGGGTTGGTTCTGTCTAGGGAGACGGGGCGGGGAGGCTACCTGCTGTTTGGCACTTGTGCGTGGCATGGAACGGTCACCTTAATTAAAATGCACAATTTTGCACTTTTGGCCAGAAAGCGAGCGTTTGCTACGGCGTTTCTGCTGCATTCGCATTAAAAGCGTTGGCGCCAACTACAACAACAACAACAACAATTACAACAACAATAACAACAGTTACTACGACACCAACAATGTCACCCAAGCACAAAAACAAATACGAATTTGGCAGGCGATTGCAACCGACCGCATGATACTCGCCCACGAAAAGTGCCAACCTCCAAATATATTAAGAGATCAAACTTCTTGCAGACAGATCTTCTGAGGAACTTATCAGTTAAGTTCCTCACAATTTTGTTTCCTTTAGCTCTTAAGTTGTGGAATATTAATTATATCAATATTAAGCGGGCAGGCTCGTGGTTACACACCTTTTGCCTCGATCCCTAGAGGTGTTCATCAGTAGGTCCACCTGCAAAGTTTGACGATTCGCCGTAAAATTGTGGAAGTTCGTCCTCTACAGAGCGTATCCTCAAATAGTTAACACTTTGTCTGACGCGAAAGAAAAGTTGTATACAAAAACCTTGTATAAAAAATTATATAGTTTCTTCCGATTTGCCGCGCATCCAGTGGGAATAGTTTGAAATACTTTTAAGGTCAAATGGTTTTTGGGAAGGTTTTTACTATAATACTTGCTTTAAAACAGAGCTTGCAAAATACTAAGAAAAAACCATATAAATTTTATTACACTAATTGATTTTATTTAAAATAATTTCCTAAGTGAAGTTTTAAACTAAAACTTTTCACAAAAAAAATAATAAAAAAAAAAATAAGGTAAAAGTTGTCTCACGGAGAGCTGGAAATGTGTTGAAAGTTGCTTGGTAGAGATTTGTCTATAATACCCGATAATCATGAGAGAGAAAGGGAAACATATTCGCATTTTATCGTAGCTACAAATTGGCAGCAGGACGAACCCAAAACGGATATACTCTTTTCACTTTGTGAGCGGGTATCATGAAATCTCTTGGCTACTTCGCTTCGCCCGCTGTCATGCAATTTATTTGCCAACTACTTTACACTTTTTGCATTTGCCTGCCGCTCGTCGAGTTGTCCTTTCTCGTATTGGACTTTATTTTTTATGAATTCAACCCCTTGCTATCCTCTCGGCCAAACAGCCCCTCAACCCCTTACCCCAGCCGACTGTTGTAATTTTGTTGCGGTCTGCGTTCATTTCGCGTATGAGCGAGCGTCGCACTTCGGCAAGCGTCCCCTCTCCAACTCCCTTCCATACCCCTGCCCCTGTCCGTACCCCTACCCTTGCCCTGCCGTTGTAGCATTCACAATTAAAAAGCTCAACACAAAATTTACATTGTCGCTTGATGGTCGGGCGGCCAAAACTCTGCACAGACATACCAACAGGCAGCTCGTCCAGAGACGACGGACACAGTCGTCATCATCATCATCATCGGCTTAAAGCCGGCCAGAGAGTTGGCTGGCCCGTTTCTGCTTCCGTTCAGCCCAAAATGAGAAACGGGTATATATGCTAAAATCTAAATGAAACCCGTTTCAAGCACTATAAAGTGCGTAAATGAAAAGTATATATGTGCTACGTGAGGTTTCTTTTTTGTTGGCCCAGTTCCCAGTGAATGGGTGGAGAATGGAATATGGTTTTTCTTGCGAGGCTTAAACTAATTTTCATAGATCTATTTTAAAATTCATGGAAGACACCCTCCAACGATTTTGGGGTAAACCCGACAGTAAAAAGCAGTTTAATTATCTTTCGCTCGGTTTCGCTTGCAATGCTGGGAAATAATTTAAATATGGTTGCAAATTAAATGGAAAGTAAACATTTCTGGTCTAAAGTTGCATGCGCTAAAGTTCAATTTTCGCCAAAATTCTATTCACATAAAACCTAATGAATTATGGTTTTACCGATATTGAAAGAATAATTTCAAAAGGAAAACTATTTTTAAACTTAACCTAAGAATATAGAAGACATATTTATGTAGAAGAGGGTTGTGTCCAGGGAGTGCGTTGGTGCACCATAAAATTGTAACGCCACTTTATGCGTTTTATGCTTTATGACCACAAATGAGTGCGCACAATGCTGCAGTCGGACAGTGTCCAGGGGTGTCTAGCTGTCACTCTGCCCCTACTCCGTCCATTCCTCCCCTCCACCATGCACTCTTCCTGTTGGCTGTGCAACTTTTATGCACGCACACATATATAGAATTTGATTATGGCACGCTTGGCATTTGGCGCTTTTTACTTGTATTTTTGGTTTTTGCATGTTGCATAAATGCTGAACTTTTTAATTTTAATTGTTAAAAGCTTTTTTGCTAAAACGAATATAAAAACCTGGCCACGACACGCTGACTGCATTCGGGCAACATTAATGCATTAAAACGGCGAGCACACAATCACAACTGTCCCAACAGCTCAAATCCCCGGCACCCATATTTTCCAGCACTCAGCTCCGTTGCGCCAACTGCTGGCTCGCATTTCACATTTTCATATGACGGTCAGTAGTGCGCCATGTGCAACAGTTTTGCCGTCTGATAAATTAAACAACACACACACACACACACACACACACGCGGACGAGACCCCAAGCCAATCCAATCCGTGTGCTTCTTTGCAGGCCATAAACTACGCACATGGACGGACGTACCATTGTGGCGGCGCCACGCCCACCTGGCCTGGCCAGATGCCAGAGCCGGCGGCTCGGTCGTCGTCTGGCTCGTGTGACTGGCTTATGCAATATTAAGCATACGCCATGCTGCCTGCCATTCATAGATAAATTGCCAGCGCGTTTAATATGAAAAGTTATGGCGCTTGCAATTAAAATGCTCCACAAACACGGCGCGAAACTTTAAAGAATTGCCATTAAATGCGGCACAAATCTGCGCATCAACAGATAAATAACCGAGGAATGTCCTCAAGTGGAAGCTGGCATTTCGGGTATCGCGCCGCAAGGAATCGAAAAAGGAAGGTAGGCTTCTGAGTAAACATGTTTACCGCCGGCATGTGAAAGCATTCAATTTATGGAGCCGTCGCGTATTTGAGGAATTAATTGGTTTAAGAAGCCATGAAAAGGAATTTTTAAGTAGAATATGTATTCTATTCTTCCTGCTGATGGGGTTGTTGAGTGACTGATTTTATACCTCTATTAAATGTGATTTGCCGCTATTATCCATGATTGCTGAGAAAATAACAATTGTCCAGACATTTCAGAGCCAGACAAACTGAAAATGAAATGCATACAAACTCAGTTACTCGAAGAACATGCTCTAGATTATAAGAAAAGAGAGACGAGCTCAAACGATTTCCAAAAAAAAATATATTTTTCATGGAATGGAATGATATATCTATATCTTGTTAAACATAAATATAAAATATATAGTTTTTGAATGATTATGATTGACCTCTTTTAACCCGAATAAGCATTGTTTCCAATTAGATATTGTTTTAATATTTCGCTTTAATAGAGAAGTGTAATATATGAATTACAATATATCCACATATCTTAAAAATAGAAT